AATGAAAGGGCTTGTGGTCGGCAGAATGGCAGCCCCCAACGATGTCCATGTCCCCATCCCAGAACCCGTGGGTATGTTTGTGACTTAGCAAAGGAGACTTGGAGTGTGTGATTAAGGTTCAGGCTCCTGAGATCAAAATGTTATCCTGGATTTCCTGGGTGGGCTCAGTCTAACCAGGAGCCAGCTGTGGCCAGTGTGGCTGGCCTTGAAGGGGGAGGGAGGGGCCACAGGCCAGGGACGTGAGCTGCCTGCAGAACAAGAAAGGCAAGGAAAGAGGCTGTCCTGTGCCCTCCAGAGGAACACAGGCCCCCCACCCCTGGACCTCGCCCTGCGAGGCCGGGACAGACTCTCGGCCTCCACATGAGGACAGGGAACCTGTGTGGCCTGGGCCACGGACACAGAGTCACTGGGCTACAGTGACAGGAGGAATCCATCAGGCCAAGACTGTGCTTCCSACTGTGGGACTTTGAGAGGCAGAACATGGTAAGCAAAGGGTAGCTGTCAGCTGAGATCCCGTCACGCGGTGTGAGGGGGAGTCCTGCGTCGGGCACCGTCCGCCGTCCCGCTGCTGTGGGCTCGCTGTGCGCATCCGTGGCTGTGGGAGCTCCTCTACGTCTGGGGGGTGATCCTTCGTTTCCCCCCTTCCTGTATCTCCTTCTAAGACTTTTTGTAAGTTTTGCTTTTTAAATTCATCTGGAATTTAGTTTKGGAACTGAGATCAGAAAGATATCCAACTTCTTTATTCTCCAAACGGCTAAAATGAGTTAACACAGTTTATTAAAGGGTTTGGCTTTTCCAACCCACCCGATTGCCATGCATATCAAGTAGCAGATCTCCATGTATATGGATATATACATATGCACATAAAATCTTATGTAAAAGATCTATGTATCTCTTCCCGTTATGAAGAAGTAACAATAGAAAGAACTCCCTGTACTGGATGGATGGATGGATGGATGGAGGGAGGGAGGGACAGATAGATAGCTGTGATATACACGTAGACATCTCCATAGGGTTCAAAAACAGCTGTTTCTGATGCTCTATTTCATGGCTTTGGGCCATTGGCTCTTCCTGCCCTAGGAACACTACATAACTTGGTGACCTATTTATGTCTAAAATAAAAGGAATTAACTCATGGAGTTTGGGTGCCCATGCTGCACAAATATGGGTTCCCTACACCCCAGATAAAGAGTGACCCCGAGAAGCCTGCAGAAGGGACCTGTCAGGCCCTGGGCCTCCTCCTCCCCAGCAAGGTCACCCCCAAGGACCGAGAGTGGCCGCCCTTAGCTCTGAGTGTCCTTCCGGGTGGACCGCTGGCCCTGGCCCTCCCCTGGCGGCCTGCTTTCCTCCCCACCCCCGGCTGCTGGGGCACCGGGAGGACACGGCTCATCTGTCTGCCTGCATCTCTGACGCTGACACCCAGATGAGACCAGGGCTTGGCGAGAGCCCAGAGCAGCTCCGAGAAGCTGCATCACAGACTGAAATGACTCCAGTTTTAATTTGATTTTTTTTTTATCCTGTAACAAGCAAAGTTCACATTACAGATAAATTGCCCGGAAATTCCAATTTAATAAGGCATATGCATTTTTCAGGCCTAGAAGCACAGAAAACATCTYGCATGCTGGTGTTTTTATACTGAAAGGTTTATTAAAAAGACAGCTTTAAAATGTCAGAAATTTACATAGCGTGCCCAGTCAGTTGATCAAAAAGGCTGATTTGACAAAAGTGCTCAAGAGCCAGAAAGTGGAAGAGCAGGCAGCTGGCGGTCCCGGGCAGGCGGCGCTCTGCGTGGTTGGGGTCACGTGTGCAGTGAGCCGGCCTGGCGTCTGGCCCTCTCCTGCCCTGACTAGGGGTGCCATTCTGGGCAGAGCCAAGCTGGGCAGCCAGGTAACACAGCACGAGGTRTCCACGGGAAGAGGCACCAGATGGTGAGCGAGTAGAAACCAGCAACGTTAAATGGTCACGTTAAAGCTCAGCTAGCACAGCCACAGGTGCCACGTGAGTCCCCACCTTTGATTGGCACACATGGATCATACAGTGTGGCACAGTCACACTGACATCAGAGGATCCGCATCATTCCCGGGCTGACCCTGCCTCCGTCCTCTACCTACCGCTCTCCCTTCCACCCTCACGAGATCCCTTTTCCCTCTATTTCCACACAGCAGAGAAAATCCACAGCTCTAGGCTTTCCCATCTGGTTGACTTCCTTAACACAGTGCTCTCCAGTTCCAGCCATTTTCCTGCAAATGACACAATGTCCTTCTTCTGTGTGGCTGAGTTCAGCTCCATTGTGTATGTGAACCCCATTTTCTTCATCCGCTGTCTGCTTTCGGACACCCAGCCAGCTCCACTCCTTGGCTGTTAGGAGACAGGAGCGCATGGAGCAGAGTCCTTTGGAAAAATGCCACAGAGTGGTATGGCTGGGTCCTATGGCCGTACGGAGGCTTCCCAAAAACCTGAAAATTGAGCTACCACATATAAAATGGAAAGTAGTGAGATGTCGTCCTGCAAACCACACAAGCCCCGGCATCCCAGGGAATGTGACACAAACAGGGACTTTAGGGATGGCTTTGAGCATTTATCTGGCTGTCACCACTCCCKACATGAGAACAAGCAAAGGTGTTCATCGTACAGAAAATTGCAGCATCATAAGACAAAAAAAATGAGAGAAAGAAAGAGAGCACTGTTTGCATGCCCAGGTGAAAGCCAGAGGACTTAATTCACTGTTATTTATATCTAAACTCAGCTGAGTAATCAGGGAATTAAACACGGCCCATTTAAAGTTTTCATTACTTCAAATCTGTTGAGCCCCTACAAATCACTCCTGGWTCAACGGCCAGCTAGTGACCTGGCAAAATGGAAACAATGTCACCTTCCCTTGCATCTTCCCCTCCCATGACTGCCCCCCTGAAAGGGGAACAATTCAGTCAACATTTACAGGGCATCCACCTCATGCCAGGCACTCCTCTGCACCCTGGGCTACAGCTGGCCTTGGGCGGACTCCATGCTGGGTAAAGTGCAGCCCCTGGAATCCAACAGAACTGTGTTGAATTCCAGCCCTGCCACTTCTTAGCTGAGCTGCCTTTGGTGAGTTGCTAAACCTCTCTGATTTTTGGTTACCTTGTTTTCAAAATAAGAGTAATACCCACATCACTAGGTTGTTGAGGATCCCAACATTAAAGTGGTGCTACCCATAGAGTTTAGCACAGAGCTAAGTCCACAGAAGCATTCTTGGCTAATTTTGGCCAACTTTGACCTCACAATGACACCAAGTCTTCAGCGTTGGGTGAAGGCAGCAGGTCCACACGGGCCCACGTTGGGCTCCCRCCAGCGTTTTAACCTAGGCCAGTGCAGCAAGAACCCATGCAGGGTGACGGCTTCCACCCAGGAAGTCACACGGGGGACCAAGTGGAGATGTTGAGAGGAGAATTGAAAAATAGCAGGCGCTTGCCRAGTGGAAGTGTAGATGATGGTTGAGGTGACAGCCTGGTGTTTTTGAAGCAGTCCGTTCGCAGGAGGAAGACCTCACTTCTGTTTTTAAAAACTATTGAGATGCTAACTGAGGCGCCAGGCKGTGGGGCCCAGGCGAGGCCCCGTGGCTCTCTCCATCTGTCCTTCTGGCTGTTCCCGAGCCCCATCCTCCAGATTCACAGACCACCCCCCACACGGAGCCCCGGGCGGATGGGGTGAGAGGGGACACCCTGGCCGCGGCCGTGAACCCCGAGACTTCATGGCCGACTCTGAGAGCAGACTGCACCTCCCTCTGCCTGCCACCCCACGAGGCCACAGCGACAGTCCCCGACTCCCAGGGGAGGAAGCAGAAGGCAGAGGGGCAGCCTGGTGACGCAGCACAGTGACAAAGCACGCGGGGCCCTGGGGTCCTCATCTGAGGAGGGAATAACTGACCCCAGGCGGGCGCCAGGGCCCAGAAAGCAGGGCCTGGCGCTGTCCACACTCAGCGTAATGCTGGGGGCTGCCATTGAGTCACTGCTGAACCAACCTTGAGCCCCGGCTGTCCAGGACTAAGGCTCAGCAGGGGCCTCTCCCTGGTCACTCAGGCCATATCCCTCCACAGCTCCAGGGGAGATCTGCCTCTGCCTCCTCCAGCTTCTGCTGACTTCAGTGTCCCTGGCTGGGGGTTGTGCCCCCTGTGCTCTGCCCCCAGGGTCACACGGGCCTCTTCTCTGTGGGCCTCCCATCTCCTCTCTTCCTCTTATGAGGGCACGGTGTGGCATTCACCACTCCCACACCCAGGTGACCCAGCACAGCCTCCCTTCGCAGGTGGTTGACTGAACCAGATCTGCCAAGCCTTCCCCTGAGGGTGACACTCTGGGGCTGCAGGGGGCGGGCCTGAGGACTCGTGGTACGGGCTGCTCACCTGCTGGTGAAGCTGCCTTCTAAGCGTCCTTAGACCCCACCCTGGCCGTGCCAGGCAGAGATGGTTGTCAGCAGACTAAAGGGCTGCGGGGACACGTGTCTCCTGGGGCACGCGTTTCAGAGACTGTGGGTGGCAGCAAAGCTCCCTCGGGTGGATTATGGAAGTGGTCATTGTTCCCAAGGCCGCCCATCTCAAGGGACTCCTCAGGTTCGGTTGGCGGCTCCCTGGGGGAAGGCTTCCGTGAGGCCAAGGCGTCACTAGGCTTTGGACTTCAGCAATGAACTTCTAACAACCTCAAAAAGGTGACGTCCTTCATGGCTGGTGGTTGCCATGTCAGTGCCCAGCCCCTCAGGGGAGCTCCGGGACCCTCAGAATCTGCTTCTCCAACTCGTCCGCTCCCACAGGGGCATCTCCTGGCACGTCCCGAGAAGGAACGAGGCCGCGGGCACAAGGAGCCGCTGTCAGAGCTGGCATTCTCTGAATGAGCGACTATAACTGAGTGAGAGTCTGGGTCCGTGTCCAGCCTGTCCCGGGGTCCAGACGGGCTCGCRCCCCCGACTCAGGCCTTCTGGACTCCAGAGCAGGTGCCGTCTGACGTGGTCTGTCTGTCTTGTCTTTTCAGGTACTCTGTTTACAAGGACCCCGCAGGCTGGCTGAACATCAACCCCATCAATGGCACCGTGGACACCACAGCCGTGCTGGACCGCGAGTCCCCGTTCGTCCACAACAGCGTGTACACCGCCCTCTTCCTGGCCATCGACAGTGGTGAGTGATTTGCAAAACACCATCCAGGGACACTTCAGTTACCAACGTGTCTTCACGTCTCTGCTGATGCTGCCAGGGGTGTCCCTGGGGAGGACATCAGATGTGGGAGTAGGAAAGCAGGTGTCCCAGCACACACAGCCACCCAGGTCCTCCAGGGCCCAGGATGCCCTGGTCCTTGTGGACACATGCTGTCCAGCTGGGGCTCAGGCTTGGGCTCGCTGTGCTCCATGGCAGGCGGCCCTGGGGCTTAAAGCCACGCTGGCAGCTCTCACCCACATGCCATGTGCTCCTCTGCAGAGAGGGTTCCGTGTGCGACACAYGCTGCTGGAAAGTGCCAGAGGACATCACTGTCCCGATGGCTGAACTGTCCCTGGTGCTTTATCCTGTACGCTGCCATGAAAGGACACTGGACGCATGTCGCCGGTCACTGAGTGACAAAACATTTGTGGTTCAAAACTTAATAATGCAACGTCCATGTGGCAGCTCCTGCTGCACGTGCTGGAGATTGAGCAGGGAGCTGGCCGACTGGTGCGAAGAGCAGTACRGTCCCAAGTGCCACCAGCACCTGCTGTTGTGACGTCACACTGTAGGGAACGGTGCAATCTCGAGAAGATGGCAGTGTGGACCAGTAACAGGATGAGGGGGAGAGGGACCAGGTTCTCGAGACGTCCCACACACTGTGAAGGCCTGATGGGACGTGGCACTGACTGACATGGGGGGCAGGGCACAGCAGATTGGAGCTGTGTTTAGCTGAAATGTCTGTTGAATCAAGTGCAGAGACCTTTTGCTCTCCCATTATTCCTAAAAGCCAGCCGCAGTTTGGAGCTAAACGCTTGGTTTGGGGTCCTTGTATGTCAAGGTGACTCTTCCCATGGCTCTTTATAGGTGCCCCTCTCACAGGCACAGGACCCTGGGGTCCATCCCTAGCACCACAAAGAGGAAAATAAAGTTCCTCCTAGAATCCCTTCCCCACCCTTGGCCTCTCACATCCTGAAACTTCTGGAAAATCCCTGCGTGAAAGCAGCGGCCTGGTTTCACGTTCCAGGGTGACACTCATGGGCTGTCTGATTCAGGACATTAGAGGAGTCCTGCAGAGCTCCTGCAGGGGACGGGGTGTCACTGTCCTCCCCACAGGCCGCACGMGTGTGAGCTGCCTGGGGTGCTGGTCACCCACTCGGAGGCTGGGCGTCCTCTCCTGGAAACAAGAGCAAGCCTTCTTCGATCACAGCTGGGGGACCTGGGAAGGTGAAGCGCCAGCCCTCCACCCCCGTCAGGAGCCACTCTAACCCCTCTCCAGACGGGGGTTCTGGAGAAGAGAGAGCAAAGCCAAGGACAGTCCTCYCATGACCCCAGGAAAACCCAGCCTGGACCGGACCTGCATCCAGCTCTCCTGACTCTGGTGTCAAACCAGGAAATTCAAACTCCRCCATCACAGATGTTTCCAGAGGACTGAAAGGTCCCTAAAGAGACAAATAGAAAACAGAACGTTAATTAACACGCAGAACCATCGTTGGGCACGTTGGGCACRAGAACGCTGAACACGGCCCAAAAGACTCACGGCACAAGGACAGACACTTCAAAGGCCTCGTAAATCAGAGGGACTTTTATGTAGAGGCTTCCTTTTGTCACTCAGAAAACACACCTCCAGGTGTCATGTTCAACCAGGAAAGCCGACACCTGCTAGATCAGAGTCCTCGGYGCTAATGGAGGTCTCCGCTTTTTCCCAAGTGAGCATTTGTCTTCTTAATTCCATAAAGATTCAATTTGTTTGATGGAATGAAAGAATAAGCGTTTTTGTCATTAAACATGAGGAAAGCTGAATCTCTTAACTTGATTTTCTCCAAACAAGGACATCACTCGGGAATCTGCCCAAGCAGGTTGATCAAATAAAGGCTGCAGGAACTACCCGGGCAGTAAACTGATGTTCCCAGCGTAAAATTAGAAAAATGCAGGTGAATTATGAAAATTAAATGGTACAAAAAAATATTCACCGTAAGGGCATCCGCGAGCCACAGAAGCCGTGAGGCCTCGGCAAACTCAACACGGGGGGCGGGGGGCATTCCGACGGCCTTGGCTGTCCTCTGGGCCACTCTGGATTCTGGGAGAGGAGGTCGGGCCTGGCCCAGGCAGAGGCCCAGGGAGGGAGGGGAAGGAAGCAGAGACGCTGGTGGGAGCCAGGTGAGTCCCAGGGGCAAGCAAGAAACCTGAGGAGATTTCGACACAGCGCCACTTTTCCACCAGGGACAAATGGCTTTCAAAGGACAGAGTGGGATCTCCAGGGTCTCAGAGGAGTCAGAGACCACCCAGAGGCAGCCGCCCTCCTCCAACACACAGCTGTCCTCACTTAAGATACCTGACCATCTGCAAAGTGCAAGGGCTTGGAGGGGAGGGCCTGGGCTGGCGGGAGAGCCGGGTTGCTCATGCTGGAGGGCGGAGAGCCGTCTCCTGCGGCCCGTCAGGGCTGAGATACGCAAGGCGGCCAGTCACACTCCAGGAGTGCCACAGTGAGCACCAAGGGTATGCAGAGGTGACCAAGTCTCGTTAAACCTGCAGCCCTGCCTGACCCATCTTAGTCCTCAGCTGCACTGGCCAACACAAGAGAGAAAATGCAGGTCACGGGTCATCCGGAGCCTCCGTCACTCCTCTGCACATAATGCCCCGTTTACATTTATTTAAAAACAATCTCTCGACCCATAGAAAAGCCAGAATATGCAAGTGATGATCCAGAGAAAAGTCAGACCAACAAGGACCCGGACATTTGAGTTGGCACCCGCGGACTCTGAAATCGCCACCTCCAACACGYTCAAGGGACTGGAAGACAAAACTAGCCAAGAGCAGAGGGGAGGATTCCAGAGATTTGGAATCTGTCAGAGAGAATGAAACGGATATTCCAGAACAGAGGTACGTTGCACCCGATGCTAAGAAGTAAACAGGTGGGTTAACAGTGCAAGATTTGTGACCTGGAAGATGAATCTACAGAAAACACCCTCCGMAAAGCACAGAGAGAACAAAGAATCAGAAAAAAATCACCTAAGAGACTCGTGGGGCATTCATGAAACTGGAGTCACSGAAGGATAGAACAGGGTAACGGGCCAGGAAAAAAATATTTGAAGATAGAGTGTCTGGGAAGTTTCCAAAAGGAATGAGAGATATCTACCTGTTAATTCAAGAAAYTCAGCAAATCACTAACAGGGTAAATTTGAAGAAAAATCACATTTCAGGAGAAGTGTCAAACAGATCAAAACCAAAATCAAAGGGAAAGTGTTAAAAGCAGCCTGAGATTGAAACAGACATTTGCATCTGGGGATGTGGCTCAGCACCAGGCAGCCTGCTTAGCATGCAGGAGGCCCTGGGTTCCCATCTCCAACACTGCAAAGAAGAAAAAGGACATTTTCCCACAACAGAGCAGCAATATGACTTATGGCTGACTTCTAAATAGGAATGAGGAAATCCAGCAATGAATGACATCCTCTGAGTAAAGACACCTGCTGAATTAGTCAGTTTCCCATCACTAGAATGAAATGCCAGAGACAATTAACTTATGAAGAGAAAAGGTTGAGTTTTACAGGTTGCAGTCCCTGATGGATTGGTGCCATGATCTGGGCCTGCAGAGAGGCAGCACACTGTGGCAAGAGCTGGTAGCACAGCAAAGCCACGAATACCGTGAGCCAAGGAGCAGAGAGGAAGAGGACAGGGCTGGAGTTCCAGGGTCCCCTGCAAGGGCACCCCCAAGACCTCAAGTCCCTGCACTGGGCGCCACCTCCTAAAGCCTCTGCCACCTCCCAGTAGTACCTCCCACAAACGAACCCTTACCAGATTGTACCTGCCAATCAAGAATTCTCTAGGCCTCAGATTCTTCCTTCATAATGAAGATGAATTAAAGACCCTTTTAGACAAATAAAAGAAACGAGGGACTGAGGGACTGTGCCGTAAGCAGATGGTTTTTACAAAAGAATATTTCAGACAGAGGGAAAATCCCGGGAGGCATGGAAAGGCAAGAAGCATATAAACAGAAGGTAAAATATGGTGAGCTAATAATTACATGGCATGAGGGCTTCAAAACACTGACAGATCTAAAACACACAATGACCATGACAAGGAGGGGGGCTGGAGAAGGCAGTGAGGGCCAGCTCCGCGTCTCTGGAGAGGAGGGCACCGCCATGCTTGGTGTCCAGCTGCAAGGAGCCAAATATCTACACCGTGACCTGCAGCGAGCACGGAAGAACAGAAAAGGGTGTAAGGCTAACAAATCAACAAAAGGGAAAATGTCTGATTCATCCAGAGAGACRGGAAAGGGCGTTTTCAAAATGAGCCAAATAGAAAAAGCATAGTAATCGGCCAAATATAAACCTAGTGACGCCACGATTAAATGTCAACTGATAATACACCGAGATTATCAGACTGTTTTTAAAAATCAACCAACTAATGTTACAAAGAACACACTTTTAGTGACCACAGAGAAGAGAAGAGGTGATCCTATACTCCCAAAGGCGGCATGAAGGCAGATTTTAACACAGGAAACGTGGCGAGAGGCAAAGGGGCCATGTCATGATAGTGACAGAAGCAACCTCAGGCCAGATATCACGCTTCACAACCCTGAACCTGTGTGCACCCAGCAGCGTGGGTCAGAATACACCGAGCAGAGGAGACAGAGAAGAGAAGCAGGCAGGCCCGCAGTCCCTGTGGGAGACGTCAGCAYCCCGCACATTCCCAGCAAAAACAACCAGAAGCCAAGACGCAGAGCCCTTGTGCAGCCCAGGGGCGAGCCTGAGCAGCAAACACGCACAGAGCTGAGTGCAGCAGCCCAGTTCCTTCCCTCAGGTTCACGGGAAATTTTTACCAAAGTTGTTCATGTGCAGAGATAGAGAAGGTAACRATTTTTTAAACTACCATGATTTAGAGTATCTCTCCCATCACAATGAAACTAAGCTAGACGTTAAGGTTACGATAGAGCTAGAAACCCCTAGCTGYCTGATATAAACAATACCCTGCTCATAAGT